CTTGGCTCCAGCTCTTGGGCCTCCTCTGCTGAAAGTAGGTTTCTGGCCTTTGCATACAATGTTGCGATCCTGCTGGCTGAAGTCTGGTGATATTTGTTACAGTTTCTTAAACTGCAGGCTCAGAGGCCTGCAGCCCGCAGGCGGGGAACGTTGGTTTTCTCCAACACTGAGGCAAGCAAGCCTCATGTTAGTTTCAAGCTGCCTGGCTGCCGACCGCCATCTTGGCTGACAGTTAATTTGCATATCTCGCTGATTAGCCAATGAAAAGGGTAGCGGTCGTACGCCAATTACCATGTTTCTCTTTTATTAGTGTAGATATTAGGATTATAAGAGCCTTTACAAAGACTCTAGTCCAGGTCTCTACTGTAACTTTACAAATAGAGAAAATAAAGCCTAGAGAAGAGATTTAGCTTATCCAAGGTCACAAATTATATCAGTGGTTGAGCCAGTAATAAAACCCCAATCTTCTCATTCTCAGGACAGTATACGGCCCATCACGCATTGAATCCAGACACAGTTTATTTGTGACCAAAAGTAAAATAAGAGGAACAGAACCAAAAATATCAGGGGCACCAGTGGATGCTAGTGTCAGGCAGAATAAGACAAGTGAAACTCAAAGTGAATGTTTTAACCTGTCAGTCCAAACTAGGTGTGTAGTGTAACATGGAAAGTAGTGGGCTACCTGAGCCTACTCTTAGCTGAGCCAGGTCAATATTGAGATGGTACATGTTGGCGAACCTATAATAGTTGCTTATCTTTAAAATATTTCTATATTTATTGGTGAGTAGTTATTCTTACAAGCTCTCCAAGTGCCCTCTCCACTGCAGTTATCATATCCCTGCCCAGATTTTACCATGATCCAGATACCCCAAGATCCTCCTCCAGAGCTACATCAGGCATCTGATTGATCATTAACTGTGCCAATATTTGTTAAATATTTTAATATCTGTAAAATGTTTACATAGCAACAGCCATTTGTCAATACCTTAACACATCTGTTAAGTATTTTGACTATCAGGCAGTATATGTTAAGTATAATTTATATTATCCCTATGCTGAGTGTCAGTTTTTTCCTCTGTCAAATGGAGATAAGCATACCTATTTATCTCACAGGAAAGTTATAAAGCTCAAGGAAATAAGTTATTGGAAAGTGCTTTGGAAACTGTAAAGGTATAGACCAATGTTGGAGACTGTCATTGTAAACAACTTCCGTTTGGTTACAGAAGTGCAAGTTGAGTTCAGAAACAAATGTCCTCCAAGCTGCATATCAACAGTTACAGAGGAAGACATGGTTTTCTGGATCATCTCCCTCAACCCCTAGTATAACCTTGCTGGGAAGTGGCCTCACTCTCCCAACCAACCATATCCTCAAACCTCTGATAGCCTTGAGTGTTGGTCAGAAAAGGACCCCACATACCTATTCGGTGGGTTATTGTGGCCCCCAGAAGGTGGCGGCTACTTTCTTCCTCCTCGTCAGATTCACTATAGCTCTTGTCCTCAATGAAACCAGAGCTGGTGGAACTTCCTGTGCTAGTCACACTCTCCAGACGGTGGTTAATCAGCTGGGTGGGCTTGCAGTCAGAATCATGAGAAATCTTCCCCTTTTTATCCAGATTGAGAAGAACCTGAGAGTTTAAATAGATCCTCAGAGCTGAAAGAGACTTAAAAATTATCAATTCCGTCCTACCCTTTATTTCTATTAGGGAAACTGAGGTCTAAAGAGGTGTAAGAAAATTGCTCAGACAGAAAGTCTTGGAGGAAGCTGAGAGTGCTGACTACTAGTATACAGTTCTGTTCCATGCTCCATAATGTCAGTTGACGCATCCCTGGTGAGCGGAAACATCCCAGATATGGCTGTTGAAGAAGTTTCCTTACCCAACAAGTCAGCAGGCTTTCACGGGGCTAGTATATTTGATGGCATATGGTACCCCAAAAGTGTCTGAGCTCTGTGATTAAAAATCGATCATATGTCATAAAAAGAAGACACCCTCTCGTTTCAATTACCATTACTCCTCCTAATGCTAAAATTAGAGTAGAGGAAGAACTTATGGTTTGAGTTAACCAATTGCTAGCTGGGTTCAGAATACCAAGTCAGATGACACCCTGGATTCTGGGGGCTCTTTTCTGAATTCATTAAAAAAAAAAAGTCAGGTGTTTTTATAAATAAAGCAGTGAATGGCACAGTGCTTTGCAGTACTTTGAGAAATAGAGGCAGTTGACCTTTCCCCAGAGAAAAGGTCAGTGGCAGCATGTCCATCTACAGAGAGTAGGAAAGTGAGAAGAGGGGAATATTGACATGTTGGTGACATATGCCCCTGACCATTTCCTCAGGGCTGGAAATTACTCAAATGAAAGGGCCTTATAATTGTACACTTGAAATCTTGTCACGCTAACATTTAATTTTTAAAAATGTATTTTTCCCAGAGCCAGTCTAGGTGCTTCATGAAGCTCCCAGAGCTTTATGTAATATCAGAGAGCTCAAGTTGATGGCTATGAAAGAATAAAGGCATAAAGGGAATTGGGCTATCTAACTACTCTGGATATAATATTTTAAACTGAGGGTGACACTAACCAATGACATAATTTCAGCCAATGCCAGGAGAATGCTGAAGAGGTCATTGAGTTCAAGGCTGTATTAGATGTATAACTGCATACCCTACCTCCCCTGACCAGTAGTATTTTTCCCTCTGCATTTCCACTTTTCTCTCTCTTTTATAATTAGAAAGTCTTCAGATAGTATTAAAAATAAAAATAGATTGTAGAGTTCAGTTGGGGAAACCTACCTTGGAAGCAATAAAATCTCCTCTCTTCCCTCTCAGAAAGTTGGCCAGATTTCCATATTTGCAGAATTCTACAATGACCATCAAAGGACCTACCAAAAGTAATGACCATAGTCATCTTTCCAGAAATATGAAGGATAGCCAATTCTTGGGCTGGTCTTGTTCTGTGTAACCTGTTGACTCACACAGGATTTCTCTAGGTATAAACCAGTTGACTGTATACTTGTGCTGAATACAATGGTGATTTATCCCAGAAACAGCTGCCTGGCTGAGAGTTGGCTGCGGGAAGATTTGGCAGAAGAGGGACAATAAGGCCAATAAAGCACAGTGGACTTTACTGTGGTGTTCTGTAGGTTGGCTAACATGAAGGACATAGAAATGAGTATGACACAGCACCTAACCACAAGTAGCTAACAGTCCAATAATGAAGGCAAATGAGTACCCAGATAGCTGGATAGTTCGTCCATTTAGTAACTGGGGCTCCTGTTTCTATCCTCCACACTGTTACTCTACCCCACCACCACTATCTTGCTAAAACGTATTTCTCAACTGTCATCGTGTTACTCCATGGTTCAAGACTGTCTGCAGGATTGCCATAGCCTACATTTTCTCTGTGCTTTCCCATAACCACAAATTATATGTGGTCTGGAAGCCTCTTATATTTTTTTGTGTAGTTGCACAGCACCATGGTCCCGCTACACTCTCCAAACCCCTTGCTTAGTGCCTCAGATAAAAACAGAAGGACTCATAAAATGTTTAAAATAAAATTACATGAAAGAGACAACTTTTCAGTAGCACAGTAATAGAGGAACAACTAAATGGCTTTTTGTGTAGTTGAGAGAATGACTTCAAATCTGTAAACAGAGAGGGGTTATAGAATTTCTTACTAAGTGGGAGAAACTCCTTCTCAGGCTATGGTGTTAACCTAAGAAGGTGCAAGCTCAGATAGGTATCAGAAGATGGTCTATGGAATCCCCTTCCCTGAATATGTTTGCATACCTCCTTAGCACACAAATGTTTTCTCTTCAATTAATGTGTCAAAGATTCTATTGGAGGTCCAAGCTGGCAAGAATTTTGGAGATATATCCAATCCCTTTATATATTGTACAGCATTTCTAGGAACAGGGGTCAAAGAACATGGGTTCTGGAAATCCCATGCATTACGAGGAATCTCTAAGTTAGAAGACCTCACATACAGTACATCAAGGCCTGTCTAAATCAGGACACAGCTTGTGTTTGAGTGCTCTGATCCTTAGAGGGTTGGAAGACTCCTTACCTCCAGGTTTGGTGCAGGCACCCAGCAAGTTAACCACATTGAGGTGGTGACCAATGTGAATAAGGATCTTCAATTCTGACATCAAAGCCTTAAACTCACTGGAAGTTGCACAATCTGCTTGAAATAAACACAAAAGAATTGTTTCTCCTGGGAGAGGATGCAGGAGCATAGGAGATCCTGTTTAATGCTAAAGAATCCTGGCAGAAATATCCATAACACATTGATCAGCTTTTGTGCTTTCAAAACAATATTATAAATGGAATAATAATATCTTCATGTGCACTAGCCTGCCTGGATGCTGAAATTTATATACTAACAGCTTTAACTACTTTTCTACTTTTTTGAAAATATATTCTTTGATAGCTATTTCTTTTGTGATAAATTATTTCTGCATTACTATCCTGGAAAAGGTAATTGGTGAACTGGCCAAGTTTGATTTAAGCATTTTTCTATGTTGAGTCAGGACATGGATTGGATCACATTAGGGTGTTTAAATATACACAAATTTATCTATTCAAGATAGGAGCTACACTACAATCTTATGTGGCCCAACCAATGCAGAATCCAGTTGGAAATTTATCGAAACATCATTTACATTTCTATATCATTTACTTCTACTGATGCAGTGAAAGACCATGTAGGAATTCTGGTGGCCAAATGCATTTGCTGACTCATATTGGCCTTACCAACAACTAAAAACCTTGGGTCTTTACTTCTGTATTTATGTGGTTGAACCCAAAAGAAGAACAAATTGGCTGACACACAAGATTCCATGATGATTGGCTCATGTCCATGGCTTAGTTTTCCATGACAAACACTGGTCAAATGAAGGTGGAAGTTAGTTGTAATTACCTCCCTCCACTACTTTAATTCTGTATCTTTACAGTCCCGTTTTCCACCTGACCACAAGTATCCTTACAAATGTCTTCCCATGGCCTCCAAAGGAATATAAACATTACCTTTCAGCATTTTCACTGCCACTGTTTTGCAAGTTGAAGCTCTGTCAATGCCAAATGCACAAGCCTCTACCACTTTACCATAGGCACCATGACCAAGAATTTTGCCTGAGGAAACAAGAAATGAAAATAAGTAATAGTCACTGAAAGACCCCAGAGAAAAATGAAAAGTTGGTTGCTTTTATGAGGGCAACATAATTGCTGAGTCAGCATTATCTGGGAGGTCTTCCTAGACTACCCCATGTGAAAAAAGCAATGTTGTAACTCTACGTTACTTGAACTTGCCTTGTTACTCTTTGTAACACAATGATTAGATAATATTTTACTGGAATATTTATTATTTCTCCCCATAGAATATGAGCTGTGTGAAGTGTGTTTTGTTCATGGCTATCTCCACATCACCTGGAATGATACTTAATATATGGTAGGTGACCAATAAATATGTGTGGAATAAGTGAATAAAGAGCCACCCCATGCCAGCCATTGATAGTAAGGATCATGTGGGTTGGAGCAGATTTGTGATAGTCTATCAACACAAACAAGTTCTTTAGGTGAGTTGTTAACACAAACCTGTTAATAAGGTTTTAGTCAAGACTCCTGGTCATATACTTTATTAGGAAGCATATTAGTTACTGGAATATTTGGTACCATTCTGTGAGCATTCATTATATTATCTTATTGAAAGGACTCTGGATCCCAAGTCAAATTGTTTTAAAAAGACTCCATTGTAAACCAATACCTTCATTTTTTGAGGTGTTCAAATTTGTAAAACACATTCCCTAATGTTACCTTACCACATGCTCAGAGTAGCAAAAGAATATAAATTAGACAACTATAATTATTAATGTTTTCCTTTTATAATGGAAGAAAGGAGCTCAGAAAAGTTAGGTGACTTGCCTTGGCTAAGGTCTCCCAGTTTGGACATCTAAAATAACCCAATTGCATGCTATGTGTGCAATGTCATTCTGCTCCCCTAAGTTTTTATTTTGTTCTTCACATTGCCATCTTTAAAACACATCTTACTTTACTTAGGTTTAAGTGCATCCTGGATTTCAAGCCATTGCTTTTTCTTGGGCTTTATACTCAGTGATTTTTCAGCTCTATGGTGAAAGAAATGTGGAAGGGTGACATAACAGAGATTTTTTTCTTACCTAATTGTAACCGGTCCCTAGGGAATTCCCATTTAGTGTCATCGTAAGGAAGCCTGTCACACTGTTGGTCAAGGGGCATCTCTTCAGGATCCATGATGATGGAAAGGTAACCAGTTTTTATTTCTGACACACTAGGCTGCAGAAAGGTAGAGGAAAAGCATATCACTGAGTTCTTTTGACCTTCTGAAAATGTATTAGGCCTGTGGAGTTTCCAATTTTACATTATAAGTTGGTTAGTAACATAAAAAACACACATAAAGAGCATAAATATAATAAAAAATACTCCATGAACAAAAATTAAAACAAAAAATAACAGGGAAGACTTTATAATACTCTGACTAACCATGAAACTGAATTAGAATAAAATGTACTAACAAACATTATATGCATACTCCATGGACATGGACAGTAGTTTGGTGAAGGCCAAGGTAGGGGGAGGTGAGAGTGGGTGGAATTGGGCAAAGGTGGGAAAAGGGGGGACACCTACAATAATGTCAACATTAAAAATTATTAACTAAAAAAAAGAGAAAGAAGAAATTATCTTGACCATGACTTTGGTTGACACAGATAGCTCAACTTCAGGAATTTGGCTAATACTGACCAGTTCCAGTATGCTGACATTAACAATCTATATCAGGACCAGCAAGGACACTGCATGTCCATAGCCCCTCCTCCTGATCACTTTGTTCAGGTTACCCCCTCTCTCCCTAAAAAACCCCTGCCTGCACTGAAATGCTAGGATGGGCTTTGCACAAGAGTCCCCATCTTCTCAAGATGCCAGCAATAAAATAAAGCTCTTCCCTTTTCACCAGCATATGTCTCAGGAGTTTGGTTTTCATGGCAGCAGGCAGTGAAATCTTGGTTCTGATTACAAAACAACAAACTAGAAAAATAGTTACAATAAGAACAACAAATTAATACCCATATTATAAAGAACTATGAAAAATCCTATATAATAAAAGGCTAATATGCAAATCGACCAAACAGCAGAACGACTGGTCGCTATGATGCACACTGACCACCAGGGAGCAGATGCTCAATGCAAGAGCTGGCCCCCAGTGATCAGTGTGCTCCCACAGGGGGAGCACTGCTTAGCCAGAAGCCAGGCTCAGGGCTGGTGAGCACAATGGCGGCAGCACTAATGATATCTGACTGCTGGCTTATGCCCACTCCCCACAAGGAGTGGGCCTAAACCATCAGTTGGACATCCTCCAAGGGCTCCCAGACTGGGAGAGAGCACTGGTCGGGCTGAGGGACCCCCCTCCCGAGTGCACAAATTTCATGCACCGGGCCTCTAGTCAATGATAAAAAGGGACAGTGCAAATAGCAGAGTCACCAACTCTGGGGTTATGTCCCCTCATAAAATCAACTAATGAGATTGCAAAAGTGATCAGAATTAACTTTTGAATAGGTTTTGAACCCAGTAGAACTTACAGCAATGAGGGAAAGACTTGGGTAAGAATCATCTGCTTTGTGGTAATAAAGAGGGAACAATATGAACCTTGTCCTAAAAATATTGTGGTTGTAGGCCTCAACATGTCTGGCAAATCCCACAAAGAGCAGTGCAAAACCTATCAAAATTGGAGCATAACCAGGGAAGGATAGCTTCCCAGAGGGCTTTATTCCAAAGCATTTATAGGCACAGAAATTTTCCATAACACCCTCTGACAAGGCACAGTGCTAGGGACACTAGAAAAAAAATCAATTACAAAGTAAGTCTATAAAGAAGAATTTAAGAAACAGAATAAAGGTATGAGACATGGAGAAAAAAATTGTAAACTGGCAGAAGTAAGTGATTTGATGCAGTAATCACATTAAGTACAAATGGCTTAAAATTTTCAATTATAAGCAGAAAATGGCTCTAGCAGGAAGCTCTCACCCAAGGGCCACTGGGAATCTTCACTGGACGGTCCAATCCACCTAAACTGCAAGCACTCCCAATGTTCCAAATGTTAAACCCACACCTCTTCTCACACTAGAGCCAACTCCTAACATATGCTCACAAATACAGTGACAAGAGCAAGCTCCAGTAAATAGGAAGCATGTGAATAAAATTGACTATGGTCTGTGGTCAAGGGAGAAACCACAAACTTGAGCTGAAGTGTCACTTTCAGAGAAATAAAAGATTTTCAGAAGCCAGCCTGATAAATTTTGAGATCAAAAAGACATACAGACTTAGCAATTCTGTGATAAGAGAGAAAGACACATGAGACAAGTATCCTATATAATAAAACTTAATATACTAAGAGTTTGGTCATCTGGTCATCCGTTCAACCAATCAAAGTATAATATGTTAATGATATGCTAAGGTTACTCAACCGCTCGCTATGATGTGCACTGCCCACCAGGGGGCCATCAGGGGAGACACTCTGACTAGTAGGTTAGCTGGCTGCTGGGGTCCAGCCAATCGGGACTGAGTGAGATGGGCTGGACACACTCTGGAGCCCCTCCCACGGTCTCTCCCTGGCTGGCCAAAGTCCCACATCCCTCCCCAGCCCTGATCATGCCCTGGTGGGGTCCCTAGGCCTGACCTGCACCCTATCGCAATCTGGGATCCCTCAGGGGATGTTGGAGAGCTGGTTTTGGCCTGATCCCGCAGGCCAGGCCAAGGGACCCCACTGGTGTATGAATTAGTGCACTAGGCCTCTAGTATTTATGTAAGATTGGTGAAAGCCCCAGAAATAAGCAGGATCAAAGTAAAGTGTCTCCCAATTGAAGGCAACAAGTAAAGATTGGAAGAGATAACTACTACTTCAAATTCAAAATCAACATAAAACTTCAAGACACATAAAAAATTAAAGAAACAGAGAGAAAACATGGCAGCCAGCAGGACAGGAGTGAGAGAGACAGTGTGAGTGAGTAAGGGAGTGAGAGGGGAGTGTGCAGATGTGCATGGTGGTTGTGTGTGGGTGTGAATGAGGGACAATTAGATCTCATAGAAGTCTTGGGGGCTGGCAGATAAGGCACTCCTGGACAGAGAGATCCTGCTACCACCACAGGCACTGGCCAGGCAGCGAGGCTCTGGCACAGAAACCACTCCATCTTGAAGGGGAGAGCAGCCAAGGCTAGAAACACAGACTCACCATCACCCAGCCTGGCCTTGAAAACCACTCTGGCCTGTGTAGTAATTTGCAGAGTGCATGCTACCTCAGCCAGAGTTGCACTACCTCAGTTGTGGAGTTGGACCACTGAAACCCATCTGGAGTCTCTGGGACCACATAGTGATTCACAGAGTGCACAGCACCCCAGCCAAAGTCACACTACCTCAGCTGCGGGCTCTGGGATACCCTGCAGTGAGTCACAGAGTCACATGCCACCCTGTCATGGGCTCTGGGATCCCACAATGAGTTGCATCACCTTGTCCATGAGCTCCAGGACCCTGCGGTGAGTCCCAGAGTAGTGAGCCATTCTGTCAGCGGTCTACAGAACCCTGCAGTAAGTTGCATGCTAGTGAGACCTCAGACAAACATTGCCATGGAATCTGGGGCCCCAAGCATATCCACAACAGCTTGCACAAGGTTGGGGTTGAGTCACATAGTCAGGCAACTTGTGAGGAGACTCCATCCACAAATGGGACAACAACATTCGAGACCCAACTACATCAGGAGAACCCAAATAACTCAAGCAGGGGGCTTTCCTAGAACACCCAGATCTGAAAGACTGCAACACTGGGTCCCACTAAACACCTATGTTGGACGAACTCCCCAAAATTTGGGTCTCATGGCAGTGTGATCTAAGACACAGAAATAAGTATAGGACAGCAAAAGTGGGGAGACAAAAAAACACACAAACCCAACAACAACAACAACAAAAACACAATCTCCAGAGGAAAGAAAAGGAGAAATCGCCAGAAAAGGAATGAAATGAAATAGAGGCAAGTAATTTCTCAGAGAAAGAATTCAGCGTGATGGTTATAAGGATGCCCAATCACCTTAATGAGGATTACATGCAACTCAATGAAAATTATAAAGAGCGGAATGAGAAATATACCAACATGAATAACAATCAAGAGGAAATGAAGACTGACATAGCTGTAACAAAGAACACAATGGAAGGTTTCAACAGAAGACTAGAAGAATCTGAGGGTCAAATGACTGAGTTAAAAGAAAAGGTAGAAAAAATCACCAAAGCAGAGGAACAACTGAAAAAAAATAAAAAGCAGGAAGAGAGTCTAAGGGAACTTTGGGGCAACATAAAACAAAACAACATCTGCATAACAGAGATGCCAGATGGAGAGGAAGCTGAGCAAGGAATAGAAAACCTATCTGGAGAAATAATGAAAGAAAACTTCCCAGACTTGGGGAAGAAAAAAGTCACACAAGTCCAAGAAGTATGTAGAGTCCCAATCAAGACGAACACAAAAAAGACCCACACCAAGACATGATAATTAAATTGGCAGACATAAAAGACAGAAGGAATCTTAAAGGTTGCGAGAGAGACAGAAAGTTACCTACAAGGGATCCCCCATTAAACTATCAACTGATTTCTCAATAGAAAAACATCAGGCCAGAAGAGAATGGAATGAAGTATACAAAGTGATGCAAAGCAAGGGACTGAATCCAAGAATACTCTATTGTTATCAAGGCTATCATTCAAAATTGAAGATGAAATTAGGAGCTTCACAGACAAAAAAAAAAAAGACTAATGGAGTTTATTACCACCAAGCCAGAAACCTAAGAAATGCTAAAGAGACTGTTGTAAAAAGAAGAAGTAGAAAGGGAAGAAGAAACACAGGTATCAAGAATAAAAATGGCAACAAACAAGTACCTATCAATAATAACCTTAAACATAAATGGATTAAATATTCCAATCAAAAGACAAAGGATAGCCAATTGGGTAAGAAAACATGACCCACATATATGCTGCCTATTAGAGACACACTTCAGAACAAAGGACTCACATGGACTAAAAGTGAAGGAATAAAAAAAAAATATTTAGGCAAATGGAAATTAAAAAAGTTGGCGTAGCAATACTTATATCTGACAAAATAGACCTCAAAGTGAAGGCCAGAAGAAGAGATAAGGAAAGCCACTTCATAATACTAAAGGGATTGATACAATAAGAAATTATAACTGTGGTAAACATAGATGCCCCCAATACAGAAGCATCCAAATAAATAAAATCTTCTGGAAAATA